TGCTGGGGAGGCCTAAGAGAAGGCTAAGAAACTGAAGAGCAAAGAGGGTGGACCTTTGAAAATACTCAGGAAACTACTCCAGAAGAAGAAAGCTAGACTCAATATGGTTGACAGCAATGCCTACAAACAGCACAGGAGGTTGAAGTTGTGAGGCGCCAGGAGTGTTGGCTCCTGGAAAGCATTGCCTCCATGGGGCTGATGGTATATAAAGTACGGGCAGTCCACCTTGAATGATATTAAAAATGAAGAAGGAAGGACAGAGGATGGAAGGAGCATATACACAATGGAAATGGATAGCTTGCCTCTCACCTGTGGGCACCTATTGTATAGAGGAGGAAGGGAGGGCAAGAGAGAGGACTCTTCAGGTAGGCATCCAGTCAACTGAACGAGTAAGGGTACAGTAAACGAATCTGCACCTACAAGACAGGTTGTGTGTGTGTGTGTGTGTGTGTGTGAGAGAGAGAGAGAGAGAGAGAGAGAGAGAGAGAGACAGAGAGAGGGAGAAGAAGACAAGAACCTGTGCACTTTAGCTAATGATCTCACCAGATAGCCACTGTGAAACTAAAGAACACTACATAGAATATTGTAACATGAATTACATTTTTTTTTCTTTGTCTATATGAACCAAACAGAAAGCCTCACTGGGTTGAAAACACTAAAGCTCAGCAGAAAATGAGTAAAAAGAAAAAGGAAAAAGGAAATAAAATGAGTGTTAATTAAACCCCTCAGAAATGTAGATGATAAAAACAAAATAAATGAAAACTAAACTTCAGGGTGTTCAGGGGAAATGCAAATGGTAAATAGACCCTCATTTAATATCTAAAATAAATGTAAATGGCTTCATCCTGTCAATTGAAAAACCAGGCATCGGCGGAATAGGATTTAAAAGCATATGGTTCAATTATTTGCTGTCTGTAAAACTTCACCCTCTTATGTCAGAATGGTAAGATGAAAGAAAAGTGATCCTAAAAGTTCCACTACGTAAACACATTCCAACTGAGTAGGTCACACTAGGTTAAGGGCAAAGCAGATAATTCGAGCAGAGCAGCTAAGTCCAGGCACAAACAGTACACATTCCTAAAATGGTTAATTCACAAACAAACCAAAGCATGATACAGGTGTGTACAGTGAACACCAGCACCTCGAGAGCCTAAAGAAGCAGGGCTGCTGAGGTGGTGGGATAGACAAAAGACACATATCATCAAGCCTGGCAACCTGAGGTCAGCACTGGGGAACTCTGTGTGGAATGGACTTACTCCTGCAGTAAGACCTCTGACTTTCACATACACCCATGTGTACATGTGCATGCACACTAGCTTGATTTCCGTTGCTGTGATAAACACTACGTCCCAAAGGACCTTGTGTGGGAAAGGGTTTCTTATGTCTCATGGGTAATAGTCCATAATAGATGGAAATCAGAGCAGAAGGCAGGAAATCTTAGAGAAAGGTTACTTACTTACTGGCTTCTTCCTGCCTTCTGTTCAGCTAGCTTTTGTCTTGAGCCCAGTAACAACTGCCTGAGGATGCTGGGCCCTCCTGCATCATAGACATGCTATAGACCTAGACCAGACATAGTCTGGTTTGAGGCAACCTCCTAACTGAGCTTCCTCAGATAACTGTGAACTGAATCAAGTTGACAGCTGAAGCTAATTAGGACATAAGCAAACATACGAACAATGTAAAAAATAAATAAAATGTAAGAAGCAATAAAACTAGAGAACTGAAAAGATACTTTAATTAAGCCGCAATTGAAGTTGGAGACATTAACACTGCACTCTCAGTAATTGGTAAAACTATTATTCCCTTCAGAAAGTCATTATGGATTTAAAACTCAATTGTAGTATGAAGCAATATGGTCTAGTTGATATTTACATGGCTTTCCGCACAGTATTAGAATACATGCACATGGAACATATGGCAAGTGAAACCATGTTTGATAGTAAATAATCCTCAGTTGAGGGCTAGTGAGCTGGCTCAGTGGGTAGAGGCACTTGCTGCAAAGCCTGATGACCCGAGTTCTACCCCAGAACCTACAATGTACTCCAATTCCTGCAGATTACCCTCCGACCTCCACACTCGTACTCTGCTGTGTGCACACACATACGCTCTCACACACAAATACACTGTAGTTTTTTTCCTTTGAAAGAACTGGAACCACATCAAGTATGTGGAACTCAGTGGAACCTAGCCTAGACTACTAACAACTGACAGCTGAAATGGTTGGGAGAGTTTTACGTAAGTTAAAACGTTGTTCTTTCACCTGTTATTCTGAATTGTTCCTGGCTTAGAGAACATGGGAAACAGAAATCTTCCTTCTGAGAGTTACCAAATGGTTAATGAAATATGCTGGTTCATGGCAACCAATGATAACTTCCTTCTCTGTGCACTTTCTTTTCCAGCTTCTCTGTTGAAAGGATTAAAGCATGCAAACATTGTGCTGCTTCATGACATCATCCACACCAAGGAAACCCTGACACTTGTCTTTGAATATGTGGTAAGTGAAATAAGAAGAATCCAGTCTGTACTAGTCAAATATGAACAAAACGCTCATAGTGATATGGAGTTGGTTTTTAAGTTGCTATACTGAAATGAATGGCTTTTCTGAGTACATGTGACATAATCTTGCGTAAGATAATGATCATGTGACAGGTTTTTGAGTATGTATTTTGTTAGACATGTTGTTAGTGTATAGCCTGTTTGTTACTAGTATGCTTACATTGTGATTTGTAGGCATATCCAAAATGATGTTCACTATCAAGGAAATTCAGAAACAACACAGATGTTTTCCTTGGGATTTATAACCTGGTTTCTCAAAAGCATCCTTAGGTAGATATTTTTTTTGGTGTGGAGGAAAGATAGGGCAGGGTATCCTGATGCTTACAATTTAGGCTTCAAAGTTTTCCACCTCAGTTATTTCAGCTATTAACTAAAGCTTCCAATTTGTATAGCATACCATGTAACAATCTTCTTGTGCTGAGGGTGTCACTGCTGAAAGACCTGAACTTCAACTGGTAATTAATCTTTCTTCATTTCCCTCAGTAAAACATATGGTGTTTGTGTAGCAGCATCTCAGCATTTCGCTGTGGAATCACGGAACGTAACCATGATAATTAGCATCCGAGGTTTCACAGATGGATCCGAGAACATGTAATTTATAAGATACAAATGACATCGGTGCAGACTTTTTATTGAGAAGAATAGCTACCGGTATTTTGACTGTACTAAAGTCCCATTTTTATAATTACCGCACTATTTTTACTGAAATAAAAAATCCATTTTCTTTAAAAGTATGAAAGAATGAGTATCTCAAGCAGTTTTATCTTGCTAATGTCCGCCTCTGTCTGTTTATCATTTGAAAATTGTTGTCTCATGAAAAAGCCATTCATCTTGTCTATTTACATATAAATGATAGATACATTTGAATAATATGGTAATGCAGCTACAAGGACAGCTAGAGCTAGCAAGTTGCATATATTACATGCTACCAAGAATGGAAGCAGATTCACACATCAATGCAAATATAATTTCTTTTGTTTCCTTCATGATTTGGAGTCAATAATGTATTGAGATGATTTGGGCTTGGAACTTTCCATTCATGGTTTCTAGTATGTCTGATTTACGTATTTTAATAAAAATCTAGATTTTTCTATCTATATATACTATCTTCTACAGTGCTTTACAGAAAGGATACTTATTTCCTCTATCTAATTGGTTAATTAAACTGGAAGAAAAAGCAATGTTTGGGACACTTAAACTTACCTTGTAGAGAAACTAACAACTACAGTATGAAAATATCTTCAAATCTTAAGTGCAAAACGTTCATAAAGGAAAAAACAATGTGTACGTGAGACTGTATGTCATTTGATTATGTTCTATAGAGTTGGCAGCAAAACGGAGGGTAATCCAGTCCCTTCTGCAGTATTTGCTGATTACGACTGATAAGCAGTTTTCTTTGTGTGAGTGAAAATTTCCCTGTCCCTGAGCTAGAGGACTAGATATCGAAGGTCGTAATCAACCACGTGACAGGAAGTCTAGGCACCCTACGTGAGGAGTGTGGTCATGGGTTCTGATCACACTGCCTCCTCTTCATTTCTTTGTTCACCTATTTTCTTCCCTTCCCTCGAGTGCTTGCCTTCGTCTCATTATTCTCTGTGTCTCTATCTGCTCTCTCTCACAAAGCCCCTTTGCTACACCTTATTTGTTAGTTACATGGTGTTCCAGTGAACCTCTGAAGTCAGAGTTTCGGTTTCTATAGAAATATTAGACTGATTTTATGTCAGTTACTCAGTATAAAGATCACTCCCCTGAAGATTGTCTAAAGGTTTTATTGTCCCATGCTACCCAAATTCTGACTCTTTGTACTTACCCTGCTGATACCTTAAGAATGAAAATCACTCCCCACTCCCCACTCTCAACATATCTAGCAGAAACATACTTTCCTTGCATGTGTCATATCACTATGAAGTGATGGCAAGTCTCTGTAGGTTGAAACGCCTTTGAGGAATGGATTAAATACCACTGTGGGTGTAAGGTAGGAAGTCAGGGGGATGATGTGGGCTTGGGATGGTAAGAGATGGATGAATACATGGTGGCAGAGGAACGTTTGAGAGAAGTGTGACCTGAACATTGAAAACACAGATCTTCATTGCTGGTTTTTCTGTTGGCGCTGTGCTGAGGTCTCACATCTGCAATCGTCCCTTTTGTGTTTAACTAGGGTCTTGCGATTGAGCCTTGGCCGGCGTTAACATGAGATCCTCCTGCTTCAATTTCACAAGCCTTGTGATTGATTACAGGCATATCCCACCATGCTGAGCACACTGTTATTGTTAATGTTCTCCCGTGCAGTTGCATCAAACTGTGATTTTTACCACTCTAAAGGTAGAAAGCTAAGAGCTAGGTTGAGTTATTTTCAGGCCCATCTTGCTTTGTCCTCTGATTGGTGTATATATTCAGTCTTCATTGTGGCTGTAGTGATTGTAGACTTTGGTCAGAACTTGGAAAGGAGACTTGTTTTCATAAAGTAAGATTCTATATTATTGCCCTGTGCAGCCCTTGCTCTGTAGTTAAACATACATAGATTTGTGTGTCTGTGTGTGTATGCATACATATACATATAATTCTATATATATGTTTACACATAAACATGGGGCTTTGTTATTTAGCATGCTCTGAAATCAATCTCAAACACTGGAATCTAAACTCTCCCAAAATTTATGATATTATCATATTTTAAAGTTGATGGAACTTCCTTCCTGAGTAGTATTATTTTTGTTGTTCCATGTCACTGACAGTACTTCTTACTGGGTCTAGTGGCACATACTTGTTTTTCCAACCACTCAGGAGACTGAGGCAGGAGAATCAGACGTATAAGTCCTGTCTGGCCTTGATAACATGTTAAAGGCCAGCCTGGTAAAATTAGTGAGATCCTGTCTCTAAAAGGAACGGTGTAGAGAAACATCTCTGGCAGAGGGCTACATTTCTTACTCTCCTGTTGGTATGATAGAATACATGGCCAAAAGCAGTTCATGGAAGGGTTGATTTTGACTTATGACTCCAGAAGCGGTGAGTCTATTGTGAGGCGAGACAAGACAGGTTGACAGTCTCTGAGACACTATAGTGTCTTTGCTTTCATGTTTGAATTGCATTTCTAGTTGGGGAGGTATGGAGGCAGGAGCCATGAAGCCTGGAGTTCATGTCTTGAACTGAAAGCATGAAGCTAAAGGCAAATTGGAGCTGGGATGAGGCTGTCGACTTCCATGGCTGGCCATCACTGAACATCTTCCTCCAGCAAGGCCAAAGTTCTCCATAATGCCCCTAGTCGTTGCCACAGCTGGGGTCCGCGTATTCACATTTGTGAGCCTTTGAAGGACATTCATCGTTCAAACTACCACAAGTTTATGCCTAGGTTGTAAAGGACCTTGGAATCAATTTCAACTACCACAAAAATAAACAAACAAAACCCCCCCAGTAAACAAAGAAAAACTTTCTTTTGAAATAACATAATAAGGCAAACAATATGGGAAAAATCAATAGGCCACACTCATTAAATCCTCGATGTAAAGGGAAAGGAAGACGTTTCGACAGATTTCTACACTAGTGTATCCTTGCTTTCCCATTACAGCTACATTTTCAGTGGCTTTCTGAGGTACTCCTGTAAGCCTCAGTGTGCAAGGGGTTCCTATTTGTGACAATGCTCATGCAGTATGATTTATTTATACCCTTTTCTCTGACAGGGAACGCTAATCCTAGATTTTTTTATATTGTTCCCATTGCTGCTGTAGTTTTCTTAAAGCTTTCTGAGAATAATGAGATAAGGAATGGAATGTTAGTGATATGGAAAAAATAAATAAAAGGAATGACTTTGGAGGTGATTAGCCCAGCAATTCAGTAGATAATAGAACTTTGTTCATCCCCCCAAGTACCATGAAAAGTTACTAAAAATTTCTGAAACTGAGTTTCATGCCCACTTTCACAGCATGTACATGTCATGAGCTGGAATCTTCAAAGCTGGGCCTGGGCCATTGCCTCCCCAGTTCCTTAAGTCTCAGTGGCAGGGCACATGAGCCTCTGAGAAGCATGCCTCCTGCAGTGCCTTCAGATGAGAGATGGAAAGGGTTACCTATGACCAGGGAAAGGCTTAACAGGCTTGCAAAGGAGGGCACTTCTGTAATGGTCTAACATGCTGCTACAGCTCTCTGTATTTCACGTATGGCTTTAAGACTTGAAAGAGAAATAGGATACCACTTAGAAACAGTGGCTCCCGAAAACATTCGGCTGTGACAATGCTAGCAAAAAAATGTTCTTCTACTTAAACAGAAAGCTTAAAAACAATGAGTTTGCTGATAAAAATCAATAAATTTTATTTTTTTGATAAATAAAACAAGTGCCCCATCCCCTGTGTTTAATAGTACGATGAAAAATATGTCATAGTAAACATAATAGCATGATTATACAATGTATTTTGCCATTAACTTTATAACTATTGTCTTTTGCTTTAAATTGTAAAAGAGGAAGTAATCTTGAGCATCATTTTCATTGATATTATTAAATATCATATCATATTTAATAATAAGGATACAAAAGGAAGCAATCTGGACATGGTGCACATGCCTCTAATTTCAGCTCTCAGGGAGCAGAAGCAGTCAGAGATCTATCAACGTTCAAAGCCACCAGACCTATACAGAGAATTCCAGGACAGCTAAGTGAGACACTACCAAAACTAACTAATTAACTAGCTAACTAACTGACTAACCAACCAACTAAACTAACTCAAAAAAATTGAATGAACTTATCAGACATGGACAACATTTCGATCTTGCAAGCTACATAGGTTTTAGAGATTAACTACATGATGCCTAAAGTTATCAGTACAACATTATGCGTGTGCAGTTACGAGACCAGCTATTACCTAAACTGTTCTTTTCACCAAAATCATGAATAAATATAAACAAAAGACTACAAGGACGTAGGAGATGGCCATGCCTATTACCTTTG